ATATATTACTGATGTGTGTAGGCAACAGTAGTAAAATAAATTGTACAACATAGCTGCACTAGAATATTGGTCAAACATTTAATATGTATTAAATGAAAGTGGTTACATGTGCCTATAAAGGATAAGGAGTCACTTTATTTCGCAGCATCATTTTATTTACGATATCATTTTGTTAACGATATCTCACTTTATTTCACGATATCATTTTATTTCACAATATTATTTCATTATCATTTCAAGATATCATTTCATGTTGTCAAAAAAAAAAAATAAAAAGAAAAAGAAAAAAAAAACTTGAAGTGAACGCGAAAACCTGACACTTTAAAGCTAATTTAAAAAATATATATTTTAATTATTTGCATGGAAAACTTTTTTAATCACACTGTTCTGTGTATGACAGACGCTATAGATTGAGTAACTTTCATAAAGGGAACGCAACCAATTGTCTTTCTCAATTTTAGAATATGCACATTTTACTTAGATATGCTAAAAACAGAAATGAATTGCATCAGCAATTAGACATAGAATTGATTGAGTTACTTTTGATAAGGTGACTCAATGGCTTAAGTCTGTCAATATAAGAATATATACCTCTTATTTATATGCAACTATAAAAAAATAATTACATTACCAGCTGCAACAATAGTATGTGTGATATATTTAATATTTATTATGCAATAAAAGTAAAGCCACCACGTGTGCCTATAAGCAATCTCAATTCATTTTATGATATCTTCATTTCACTTCATATCAATGTCATAAAAACTCCATGAAGTGAAAGCGAGAACATGACGCGAGCCTGAAGGCTAATCTAAAAATATATATATTTAAAGTATTTGTTTCGAAAACTTTTCCAATCGCACTATTCTGAGATTGACAGACACAATCGATTGAGTTACCTTCGGGACGCGAGGAAGGTGTCAGGAAAAGACTTTTACCTTCAAAAAAGATAACTGAAATATTTCAGTTCTGCACCCCCTAAGGAAAAAAGAAGTGATTTTTCACAGGAAGAGAAGAAAAAAACATTGGTTGTGCAATATATTTGGGAATCAAAATAACTCAGTTAAAGTTGAAAAGAGTAGAAACTGTCTATTCAACTTGAAGAAAAACGACAGCTTCAAAAATGTTTTCCTTTTTTTTTAAATATTTTTTTTAAAAAATATATCTTCCCAATTCTGCCGGTGTTTATTTAAAACGATAAGATCGTCTTTATATCTGAAGTTTTTGACAATTTAAAAATTCATACGGAAATGCCAACTGGAAAAAAGATCAAAAATAAAAATAAGCAAGCATTTTTTGCTCTAAATAATACAGTAGCAATAAAAAAATATCTTACGAAGATCTATGAAATAACTAAGATTTTTATTCTATGAGCAATATAGTATAGCTTCAATAGCCAAATAAACTGTGTTAATGAGAAATACCTGCGGCAAAATACAACATTTAAACTGTTGAAAGAAAGGCAAACAAATTTTACTTAGAAAAAAATATTTTAAAAATGTTATGATCAAACTATTTCAGTTCAAAGCTAAGCGAATATTAAAAAGTATAATTTTTGTTTTATAAAAAAATGGTGCTTTTTTACAAAGAAAAAGGTTCAAAACTTCTTTCCTAAAACTATTCAGCACTGACAACTATTCTTAACGAAAAAATATTAAAGTGAGTAGAAAGAATATTTTAAATGTTTTATTCTATAGTACTATAGAATAATAGTAAATATTGGAAGACATAAAACAATTGATGAAATAGTTAATATATACATATAATTAATGTAGTTAACACAGTTAATTTTTATATNCTTCTGGTTAGTAACGCACAAAACAAGCAATAAAAATTTAAACGCATGTGTGTGTAAAGGTAATAATTTTTAATAATGCTGTCTGCAGAAATGTTACAACTAAACTTACCAGCTAAATCTTGTTGCGATTTTTATTTTGTATTGAATGTGTGGAATATATTGAACAGAGTTTAAAATACTTATATCCTTTATAAAAAATGGATCGACGTGAATATCTTAGGTGATATCAACAGCGACATAGGGCTGAACATAATTAAGCAATAAATAGATAAAATAATCGGGAAAATAATCGTAGTGCTGTCAATACGCGACAGCGGAATGAGCGGCGAAGAAACGTTGAAGAGTCAAGACGTTTAAGTGAAAACGAATAATATGGAAAAGAAATTGATAAAAAATTTTGTATATGAGGAGGTTTTGTAAATAATTTTTAGTTTTATCATTGTTTTTCCTTACTTTTAATTGCTTTTCACTTACTTTCAAAAAATCGTTCAGCCAGAAATATTAATTAACAGTTCATATTTGTTTGAGATATTTCTTAAATAATGCATAAAAGTGCAAATCATTGGTACACAAAATGACGTGAAAAGAAAAATCAATAAAAAATGTACATAGCTAGGTTTTGTGAATATTCAGAGATCTATCGTAAATAATTTTTAATTATACTATTTTCACCTTATTATTTTATAACAATTCAGACAAAAATATTTATTGATCATTGATAAAGTAATTATTTCATTTTAAATTCGTTTTTTATTAGTATTCAATATGACAAAATATTGCTTTATTTAATTTATCGAATTTCAGTTACATATGTTTTTATTATATAATTTGCTTTTTGTCTGATTGAAACTAAACATTTTGTCAGCTGACAGTATTGAAGTTAATTGGCAATTACTTGCAATGATTTTTGCTTTTGAAATATGACTCATCATCAACTTATTAATATTACATGTTTTAATTTGTTTGCCCTATTTTAAAGTTTTTTTTCATTAGGTTTTAATTGTTTTCAGTTTAAAATTTAAATTACTTTGGGGAGAGGGGAGAGAGATGAAGCACCATATAGGGAGCATCCTATAAGATCAACAATG